GCGGGGGGGGGGGGGGCAGCGAGGTGCAGCTACGTGCCTGCGAGCTCGTGGTCCAGGCTGTTGAAATAGGCCGGGTGCCGCTCCAGATACTCCCGTCGTCGGTTCTGCGCCTGGATCTGAGCCGTCTTGGCTGGCGATTTAGCCGGACGAGGAACCTGCTTGTCGTACAGGTCGTCGACACGAGTCGGGTGGCTCATTGTCGCAGGGGCCTGATGACGGTCGTGAATAAAGAGTAAATCTAGTACTGAAGGAATAAATCAGGCGGCCGGTTCTATATTCACAGAACTCGTTCCAGACGTGTACGATGATGAAGGAAATGACCCAGGTTATTTTGTATAGGTTAGTTGGTGGGGCGCCCTTTTCAAAGGTGAACTCTTTTTCGTCAACCACACTTTCTCGCACAGCAACAAAGTCAGAAAAAATGATGGTCATAATACGTTTATAGCCAGAGAATATTCTAGAGACTTGATTCTAAACATGCCAACAATCTGTTACTGTCTCTGCCGAGGTCATCATCACAGCATAGCCACCAGAGCTCAGTCCAGCAACCTGCCCAGACCGAGCCCGTCAAAAACCGGCAGCAGCATGGCTTCAATACGCGGATGACCATGCATCATCTTGTTGAACTCGTCCAAGAAGGCAATACTACTCCAGTCCCAGTTGATGGTGTGGCGAGGGACCGTCTTTGTAGCCGGGTTATCGTCCGACTCGTCCGCAACCAGGCCGCAACGAAGGGCGTTGTCGCCAATGATCAAACCGCCAGGGCGCAGCAGCCTGTTGGCCTGCCCGGGCTGGGATCGGTCGAGTATGATCTTCAGATACGCAGGGTAGCCGGACTTTTGCGCATCGATGAAGATGATATCATATGGCTCTGGGGGTTCAAGCCCGGCCAGACTGCCACCATGTTGCGTCAGTGAAGTCCCGTATCGGCGACAACCGGGTTTCCGACCTACGTGTGCAAGGCATCGCCCGTAACGACTTGGGCGTTGTTCCAGCCGAACCTGCTGAGCTGGTCCCTGGCCATCTGTGCAAACTCGGGAGTCTTCTCGAGGCCGGTGACGCTGCCATCCTTACCAACTGCGTTGGCCCAAGTGGCCACGGAGAAACCTACGAATGTGCCAATCTCAAGGACTGGAGGGGAAAGTTACAGTTAATAGCTGATGCAAATGGAGAGACCAAAAGAAGAAAAAGAAAATAAATGGATAGATCCTGGTGGATTCGTACCTCTCTTGGCATTAACCATTCGTGCCATCCACGACAACATTCTCGCCTCGAGCAGGGAAATGGTGAAGTAGGAGTTTTCTTGACTGCGCATCACCCATTCATGGTACTTGACAAGATCTTCAGGAAGAGGGACTGAGTGCTGGTCCGAGTACTCACTGACCTTTCGGCCAACTATATCGTTGGGATACAGCGTCGTGCAGTTTTCTATCATGGTTGTGTCGAGCTACCAGCCTGAATGATGTTAGTAGATGGCAGTGATGAAGATAGTTGGGCAGTTTAAGTACTCGATTCGTCCTCGTGGTTACATTATGCCGTGTGACCCATGTCACGTTATTGCACACTATGCGAAGTGAACAAGTTTGCAGTCTTGTTGGGTTGTAAAAACGGCTGGTTCGAGCGAGTGCCTCACTCGTTTCGTCGGGTGTGACAAGAATTGCTGTTATATGGAAACCGTGCGACGTTTGCTGGACAAAAAAGGCATGAAAGCCTTGTTTGCCACAACCATAAGCCTTCCAATCTTCATCTGACGCGCGTCCGCCCATATTCTTCGGCAGGGTGGCGTCAGGTTATCCATCATGGACAAACAGCCAGACTGGAACCATGGCGTTGTCGTGCCATCTTGGGCCAACATCTGTGGCAACGGCATATTTGTGCGACGTCGTCTTCCACAGCCGCAGGTTGATAATTCAACAAATGATTTACGGAGAATAAATAAGAAAAGAGAAGTTTCAAAGTTTCTCAAATCACTTGTGGCAGTCAGGCATCGTCGCTGTGAACAACGAGCCCACAACATGAAGCATCGCGACGTCTCGGCTCACGGCTGCCTGCATCATCTGCACCATCCAACTAGTACGACAAACATAGACTGTGTCGCACTGTGCCGCGGAACGCACATGGTAGACGTGTCACTGTGCCTCCAACAATAGCAACAACAGTCGAGACCATTGTCCAAGACAAGAACCAGGGGTCCCCTGGGCCGTCAACTGCTCGGGGCGCTCATCCATTTTACTCGGGGCGCTCAATACCCCACCACGCCCCAATTTTGGTCTAGCGGCCCCGATTCCAGACCCCACAGTACATTTTCAGTTCAAATGCATGGCAGTAAATGCCCTCAATTAAATGATAAGGTGCTTGTGTAATTTACATGATTTTTTTGCATATCCCAGGGTCAATTGCTCGGGGCGCTCATCCATTTTACTCGGGGCGCTCAATACCCCACCACGCCCCAATTTTGGTCTAGCGGCCCCGATTCCAGACCCCACAGTACATTTTCAGTTCAAATGCATGGCAGTAAATGCCCTCAATTAAATGATAAGGTGCTTGTGTAATTTACATGATTTTTTTAAGCCGCTATACACTTTTAGGCCGAGGTGGTGTTAAAGAAGGAAAAACGCTGCTAGCCGCTGAAAAATTCACACGGCTGCACCTTTATTAAAAAATCCGTTAATTTTTAATAGAGCTTTTTAGTGTTGAGTAAAGCTGCCATGCATTTTTACTGAGAATGTACTATGGGGTCTGGCAGCGGGGTTGACCGCAGAAAAATTGGGGCGTTAGCGCCCCGAGTAAAATGGATGAGCGCCCCGAGCAATTGACCCTGGGCCTGGGAGAAGCTGACCACCACAGCCCTCGTGTGGTTGTGTGTCCACCTCGACAAGCCGCATGCTGCATCATGACTGACCTGGCCAAGCCCTCGATGCTACGGACGGCTATAGTTTGACGGAAAAGGAAGATGCTGCCAGAGACCCAGTCTGCAGTCCATGCTCCGGTCATAGTGGCTGTCAAAAGCAGCCAAGAGAGTTTGTCAAAGTCTATCTCGTAAATTGCGGTAGCATTGGGCGAATGCATGAATTGAGTGTTGACGGACCACACAAATGGAAACAATCCGCTCCAGCCCCGGGTTGGCGTATTGTTTTTATGCCAATCAGTTCTGTGATTCAGCCATCGGGTTCAAGTTGGGCAGCTCTCTTCCACGCGGCCACCTTTTGCCTTTGCATTTATCATTTCTTCAAAGCCTGTTCCCGCGCGCCTGGTAATGCGGGATTTCTCTAGCTTTTTCATCGGCACGGAGCAGCACGATGAGCTTGATGATTGAGCAGAAAGGCTGAGCGCGACACTGGGTCTTCTTCCCCTTTTGCCCCCTCGGCAACCTCTCCGTCCAGCCATCTGCTCCGAACCGATGAGCCATCGCTGGCAGACACGAGCGAGCTGATGGCGCACGATATTGCTTCCCGCATCAAGGCGCGGCTGTCGAGGCGGCGACATTCGACTACGTCGTCCCTGGCGTCTTGTCGAAGCGGTCTTGGGGAGGCGTCTGTTTCGTCTGTTCCCAGCCAGACCAGCCGTGAAGCATCATTTGCCTCGCACGCACAGCGCACTGCGAGCCAGACCAGCGATGAACAGCCCGAACCGATTGGCCATGGAACCGCAGCCGGGAACGAAAACGAAAACGGTGATGGGGATGGACACACACGACAGCATCGTGACAAGGACCAGGACGGCTGGGCAGGCGACGAACAAGGCGCAAGTCAAGCCAGAGGTCTCGACAGTGAACCACCCGCTGAAGGTCCGTTCTTCCAGCGCTTGTTGAAGGTTTCAGGCAAGGAACCGCCAACGCAGCCTGAACCCCTCGCCGAAGAACCTCTCCCACAGCAGAAATTAGAGGGCCATCCGCTGTCGCATGGCCCAAAACTGGGCCCCCAGGTCTCCCAGGCCCCCCAGAACATCCCCATGGGACCCGTCGACATGGGCAGGGGCCAGGCACATCATGATATGGACGCATCCGACAAGGACCCGCCCCGCCACGACCACCTCCATGGCTCTGCCTGGGCTGCATCTCGATCTCGTCTTCATCCTGATCCTTCAACACAATCAAAACCAGCTACTGCGGTTCATTTGCCGCCCCCGTCGCGGTCAACTCCATCGCCGACATCTTCTTCGCCTCTTCGTCCTTCTCGTACCTCGAGTTTGGCCGTCGGGGACCGCAACTCGCCACAGCGTGGTGGTGCTGGACGGATCCATAACCACAGTCACAACTTGCGGCTTTTCGACATTGGCCCCTCGGCTTCAGGAGTGAGGGCACCCTCCGCACATACTGGTGACGACCTCGAAGTTGATCCTCTCCAGCCCCCGCAACATGGCCGTCAAATCGACCAGCTGAGCTTTGCGTCCTTTCCTGCAGCTGCATCGGCATCTGCTGCCTCGTCTGCCCCCAGTCCGGTATCCGTCGCCACGAGTGATCCACAGCCTTCACGTCGGCAGAGCCTTTTCGCCAGCCGGCAAACAAGCCTGATCAAGACTCTTCTCCGATCCAACCAACCACAGGCCGCCACAGATACTGAACATAGGCACTCTATAGATACCATCATGGTCACCCGAAAGATCTGGGTCAGGCGGCCACATGCCTCTGCTACGACCATCACCATAAACGAAGATGACCTGGTCGACGATGTTCGGGATATGATTTTGCGAAAATACGCCAATTCATTGGGTCGCACTTTTGATTCTCCGGACCTCGTCATCCGTGTACATCCGCGAGACCAAGAAAAAGAAAGGGCCCTTGGTCCAGAGGAAGTTATGGCTCGAACCCTGGATACCTACTTTCCTGGCGGTCAGACTATTGACGAAGCTCTCATCATCGACGTTCCCCGACGAACCCCGAAAGCCTCTCCTCGCGTGCCGATCCCCCCAGGTACGACTACAACATACTACATCACAGAGGACGGCCGACCCTCAGAAGCCGGCGAGGGTTATTTCCCACCCGTCGTGGCCATACCTTCACCGCATACTTCACATGCTGTCCCGGCAACAGCGCCCAACGGTGCAGTACCACATTCAATCGCTGTTCTGGGAACCGGCCATATCCCTCCCATTCCATCTCCGGGTGCCATCAGCAGGTCACGCCTCTATAGAGACCGCCCAGACCGGCCTCGACTAAACAGGACTCATACATCTTCGCCGACGTTGATGGCCGGTCATACTCCAGGGCCGCAAGCCTCCAATACCGGTAGCCACGGTACGCAGAATTTTGTCCCGCGGTTACCTCATTCCCGAACTCATTCAAGCTCGTCAGACCATCCGTCCGGACTCGCGACGGCGAAAACCCCAATGGCCAAATCACCTGGTCCGGAAGCAACCCCCGCCAGAACTGCTACTCCTCCTCCGCGATCTTCGTCTCCGAGGGCACCCAGTCTCCGGCCGCGAAGAAGCAAAAAAAGCTCAGAATATCCTACCACGACCGGCAATGTCCTGAACGGGAGTGTCCCTCCCATCAATGTTCTCATTGTCGAAGACAACCCCATTAATCTGAAGCTATTGGAAGCATTTGTAAAGCGATTAAAAGTACGATGGCAGACGGCCATGAATGGACAAGACGCCGTCAAAAAGTGGAGGACTGGCGGGTTCCATCTTGTATTGATGGACATTCAACTGCCGGTGATGAATGGTCTCGACGCAACCAGGGAGATTCGAAGACTCGAAAGGGTCAATACTATCGGTGTCTTTACAACAACGCCTGACAATGCGACCGGCAACTCGGAAGATGATATCAAGGAACAGGATCGGCTGCAAAATCTTTCTTGTTTCAAAAGTCCTGTGATCATTGTGGCATTGACTGCCAGTTCCCTGCAAAGTGACCGACATGAAGCATTGGCTGCAGGCTGCAATGACTTTTTGACCAAGGTAGACCACATTTTGCGCTTGTTGCTTCATTGTGCCCATTCAAATACTAACCTGTGAATAATAGCCGGTCAACTTTGTGTGGCTCGAGCGCAAAGTGATGGAATGGGGTTGCATGCAGGCACTCATCGACTTTGACGGCTGGCGCAAGTGGAAGGAAGATTTCTCTCAGCAGGATGCAGACAGGGAGGCGGCCAAGAACTCTCTGGCAGCACCCAAGGCCAGATCGAAGAAGAGCCGATCATCTCTCTCTACGACTTCTTAGACGCTCGCTACGCGTCAACATGAATGGTATAATGGCATAATTTCTTCAAGGCCGGTTTTTTACCACATTTTCGGCAGTCATGAACGAGGTGGGAAACTAGGATACGGTACTTCCATGATGGGTCATTATGATGCGAAGAGGCACATTTGCGTGTCACCTGCGGAACCAGAGTATATGAGTGTAATTAGATGTGCCAGCCTCAAATCTTTGTGTTATTCGGGAATTTATGGGCGCCTCTTGAGCGTCGCAGGGCTAATGAATTAATACCCATTACATCATTCAGTGTGAGAATGATTTTGTCTGTACTCCGTATATTGATAGTATTTGCAAGGGCTTCTCAGAGGAGGTTGTGGCCGAGGTGTTTTTGGATTAAGAATCGCCGGCGCCGGAAAAATAGTGGAACCGATCGGTTCGAAAAAACTACACCCGCAGAGCTTTGATCCTTGAGCTGCACTTCAGATTCACATTCATATCCACACGACACGTAGGCCGCCAAATCAATTGACTTGGATGCGGCTATTTACTGGGCTTCTCCCAAGCTGAGAAACCATTCCATCACAACGATGCCGCCGAGGATAAATGGCACCTCTGCCTTATTGGCAGCTGACCGGGCGTTGCCCCAACCAGCCAGGTCAGCAGGGCCATTTGCGCGAACATTCTCCTCGACACAGTACCGCGAAAAGATGAGCCGAGCTCGCCAGCAAATGTACCAATGGCTGAAATCAAGAGACGGCCAAGAGCTGGCAGAGGGTGGCAAGGGGCCCCGATATTTGGGGCCGTTCCAAGACCAGCCTTTCCCACAGAACCCATTGTTCCGCAGCCAGCCGGTCCTGGACGAGCAGACGAGGGAGCTGATATGGGAGAAGATTACCCAGCGAGGAGAGTCCCTCAAAGCTGTTTCGGCCGAGATGGGTGTGGATGTGAGACGAGTTGCGGCTGTGGTGAGGCTCAAGGAGGTGGAGAGGCAATGGGTGAAAGACGTAAGTAATGACAGTATCCTCCCCCTTCCTTAAATGTGCTCTCCAATGATTTTTGGGGGGAAATGCATTTCACATGATGAGACAACTATAAAAATTTTCGATTAGTCTTGAAGACACCACCTGTGGTTAGACACTTAGTTTTGCCTGATATACTGACCTTTTTTTACCATTTGTGTTACTGAAAAAGTTTTGTTGGCGAGCGGCGACTAACAGAAAGCAACAGGGCAACAAACTGGCTACGCCATACGCAAAAGCAGTCATGAGCATGCTGCCCAAGACGTCATACCGCGAGGGCGAAAAGAACGAACCGCACGAGCCAGTCAACGAGGTCCACGTGCACAAGTTGACCATGCAGCAGTTATTCGTGCCCGTGTCCGAGTCAAGGCAGTTTACGCGTGAAGACGCCGCCAAGGCTTTCCACGAGACGATGCTCTCGGCGGACGCGCGGTCCCCGCAGCCGCAGCTCATCAAGATGGAGCGCGATATTCTCAAGGGCATGAGCAGGGAAGACAGCAAGAAGGAGTTCGAGGCTGCCGTGCAAAAGGAGGAGGATGGCGTGGCCAAGAAGTTGGCAGAGGAAAAGGCCAAAGAGGAGCAGATGACTACGCGCGTCAAGACGGACCGGTACGAGTTCCGCTTCAAGGAGATTGCCGTGGATGACGTCGGCAGGGATGGACGATCACGGAAGGGTACAGGATGGAGGTACGGTGCGCCGTTTGACGACCGTAAACGCGGCGTGGTCAAGATTCCCACTTCGGTTCCTTGAGGGGCGATGCGCAGGAGTCATGTGTACCATTATACATGTGTTTTGTTTTTTGAGTTTACAGCGATGGGGCGGGTGGCATAAAACAAGCCGTGAGCTTGTTGTATAATACCATGTACAGTGCTGCGTTGCAGCAGACCAAGATGAATACCAAAATTCCAGCAACACAGGCTCATCTAAATCATCTAATGCATGGCGTCGCACATGTTCTCATGACGTTCATAATACCGCACGCGAGGCATCCAGAACACCGTTCTGCGACTCGACGATGAAATTCCGCCGCAGCCGCTCAATTTCGTCGGGCGAGACTCGGCACTCGTTGAGAACGTATTCCTCCACGGAGCCGTACTGCTCCCTCATGACCTTGAGCGTGGCAAGCATGCTCTCGGGCCTGCGAAGAGTCAGCCTTGTGAACCAAGACTCTCTCTCTCTCCCCCACAGGACAAAAAAAAAAAAAAAAAAAAAAAACTCACATGGAACTCAGCATCCTCCACGCACCGGCCTCGTCAACCGTCACCCCCTCGGCACTCATCAGGCGCTGCATGATGCCCTTCTTCAGCGGCGCCAGCCCCTCCTCGGTCAGGCCGTACTCCCAGGCAATGGTGTCGTCGTCGACGCCGCACAGCGACAGCACAATGGCGCAGAGCAGGCCGGTCCTGTCCTTGCCGGCGGTGCAGTGCACCAGGCACGGCGTGGGGTCGTCCTGCGCGAGGTGCCGCAGGACCGGGGCGAAGGCGCGCTGGCCGCCGGCGCTGAGGATGCCGCGGTACGCCGAGACGAAGCCGGCCGTGGTGTCGACGGCGGCGTAGTCCTGGTACCGCAGGGCGATGGCCTCGGGCGTGTAGTCGACGCGCTGGAAGACGGGGACGTGGACGCGCGACAGGGCCGGGGGCGACTGCGAGCAGGCGTCGGCGGCCGAGGGCCCTCCTGCGCGCGCGACCTCGACGTCGGAGCGGAGGTCGAAGACGTGCGTGACGCCGAGGGTCTGCAGGGCCGCGACGGCGCGAGGGCGAGGGCGAGGGCGAGGATGTGCTGCTTGGCGGCGCGATGGGGATGTTGCCAATGTCGCGGAGGTTGGGGAGGACGGACTGGTGTTCTGCGAGGCCCATCATGGCGCCCGCGGGTGCAGCAGGGCGGGTTTTTCTTCTTTCTTGAAGGTAGGTGTGGAGGAGGATCGACTTTTTTTATTTTTATTTTTATTTTTGGGAGCCAATTATGCCGTGGAGGGTGGTGTTGGTCGAGGCTCTTGGTGTTTTGGGCCGAGGTTCGGCTTGGGAGGCTTGGGACGGAGTACTACTGGGCACAAAATCGGCCCACAATGGTGCCCTCGGTTCCCTCCGTTTTGCATGGTGTCTATTTCTGGACGCATTGAAACCCGGAGAGGGGCTTGACCGGTGGGCGCGAGCCACCACACTACACCATACCGGATGTTATCCGTCACCATATATACATCACAATACAGTCTCCATCAGTAGGAGGCCTCCACTTTGGTAGACCCGTTCAACATTTATCTTCTTGGGAGACGCAGCACTATCAACTTCCTCTTTTTCAGCCACACTTTCTCGCAGAGTAACGAAGCCAGAAAAATCACCATAGTAATACATTTACAGCCAGGGAATATTCTAGAGACTTAATTCTAAACATTTCGATAATCTGCTCCTCATAACCCGCACCGGCTGTATTGTCAATCGAGGCTGCAATATTACACCTTGGTCGCAGAGTGCTGATGGGTGCATCTCCTTACTTTCCAGCCGTGGAGATGTGTTCCGTAGTAACTAGAAATCGCATGCCTAAGCCGTCTGACCGCGTCAATCTTGTTCGGCATTCTCATACTCACACTCCTTCGGCCAGTGTGCACCCAAGACACGTCGAACCGGCTCCCACCGGGGCGCATTATTAACAGTCTTCATAAACGAGTGTAAATATTCCACAGTTGACGTCTCGTGAACCGTCAGCTGTTTACTCCCCGCCCATTTAAACATGAGTAAAATAACGGCGTGGAGAGCATATGTCGCCTTGTTACCGGCATTTTAAGATCCGTGAGAGTTGTGTGAACTTTGTAATTCGTCTAAAACACTTTTGAGTCAGAATGTTGGTGTCAACTTTGGGCTTCTATTACCTAGCACATGACGGATTAATATAAAAGTATCAATTACAGCTATAACCGGGGCAATATCACCAAGCCGTTGGATTATTAGAACAACATTACGAAGTTTGACTTGGAAAATTCATCTTGAAAGTGTAAATGGCGGATACTAGTAGCAGGTACATCTGCAGGTGCCACGCGCAAGGTTTCGGCAAATGCGCATTCTTGAAAGTCGGTCAAGTCACGGTCCTCAAAGTCCTTGGGGGCGTGACATGTTAAAAATTGTCTTGTCAATATGGAACTCGGTTTGGTCTTTTTATTCTGGGATAATGGTGACGTAGGGAAAATGTGTCGCGAGTCCATCCAAGCGATTCCTAGCTCCTTGATATGAGGACTGTGATCTTGCTTGCTCCAAGTCAGAGCCCTCTCGTCCCTTGACACTTTTAAATGGATGGAGATGAAAATGACATCCGGGGGTAAGGGTGTGTTTCGGTCTGAAATTCGGAAAAGTTGCTCAAGGTGTTTCAGCCCACCACGACGACGGACACTTTTAGGCCCGCACTGAGGGTTTGATAAAGTTTGATAAAGAGTCCATAGATGAGGGATGTACGGCGGCTTGGTAGAACTGATGAAGCCAAATACATGGAATCTCTCGATTGATATGAGTTAATGCGCGACGTTTGAGTAGTTTGGCGTCGAATTGCTCGATATCGTGTACAGGAACGATGACATGGGTCCAGGAGACGCACATACATGGATGGGGAGGTGTGCCGGGATTGTCGAATAGTCTTTTCTAGCTCTGCGACTAATATAATAAGCTCGACGTAGTACAGCGACACTGTTTGCAATGTCAAGATGCGGAGACGACCATTTTACCACCAAGTAGTAGAGTTTGCGTTTGAACAATTTAGCATCCGACGGCATTCCATGCGTTGGCGCAGGCACGAATCTTGTGGCGAGTGAGTCTGCTTGGTGGCCTCGCTTGGCTGGGTCGGTGATGTTTAAACGAACGCCAAGGTTTGTCCATTAAGAAGTATACACTAATATACTGCAGTATATTATAATATATTCCGCGATAGTGGGTACTTTAAGTAGGTTAATATACTTCGCCCACAGACAGTTTAGGGGTCAGGGTCGTGACTTCCCGATACCAGACATCAACATTAAATGTATGGCCAGCTGGCAGGCGTGGCCGTAGGAGCTACCTAGCAGCCAGCCTCTAATCGAAAGTTTTTTTTTTAGACTACAGTCCCCATAATCCACTTTGCCTACAAACCTTGGCTTCTTTTCAGAGTATTTCGTAGTTCTTCAAAGAGTATATATATATATGTTGAATGCCCGCGGCAAGTCTTGAGGGTATATCGCCATCCATCGTCATCATTGCCCGACACACAATGCGGCTGCTACTTGTCTTGTCCATCTCCGTCCTGTTGGGCTTTGTGTCGGCCGGCACGGGGCCCAAGAAGGACCCCAATGAAAAATTCAACGATCGCAAAAAGGCCGAGGCCGAGTTTGAGGAGAACCGCAAGGTCTTTACTTGGGCCGTCAGAGAAATGACAAAAACAAAGTCCTGGGCGGTGGGCTTGAAATGCCACGAGTGCCTGGTACGTACGCTTCCTGTCGGCGCTCGACATTTTTGCAAGCTGACCTCTCGTCTTGGTAGCGATTTTTAAAGTATATGCAAGGCTTCGCCGCCACAAACGACGAGTTTATCCAAAAAGGAAAAGACATGTGCTCCATGATCCACAGGGCTCACGTCAATGTAAGTGCCGCCTCCCCCATCACCGCTGCTGCACACGCTGAACACGGGGGGTTCACAGGTCAAAGTCGAAGACTTGTGCGTAGAGACGGTTGAACACTATGGACCAGTCATGGCGCAGGTCCTGAGAAACATGAACCCGGTGGGCGAATCTGAAGGTGCGCAACTGTTTTGCAATGTCTGGGCTGGAACTTGCCCGGCCGTCACGGTGCGCTATCATGTTCCCATCAACTACACGAGAAACGAGCAGCTGCTTCCTCGTCCCAAGCCCAGCGGCAAACGGCCATTCAAATTCGTCCACTTCACCGACCTCCATCTCGACCCCTATTACGCCGCAGGCACCGGGTCGCAAACCGACAAGAATTGCCCCCATCCATTGATTTGCTGCAGGGCCTTCTCGGAAAAAGAAAGAGACATTATATTTCGATTGAGGAAGAAACCGCAGTTGGACAAGGGAGATCCGCAGATAGATATCGCAGGTCCATGGGGTCACCACGGCTCCTGCGACACTCCCAACCGCCTTCAGCAGAGCATGTACCGCGCCATGAGGAAGTTCGCTGGCGACACCGACTTCGCCATCTTCACCGGCGGCATCTTGTCACGCCAAGTCTGGAACTCGACGGCGCAACTCAACATAGAACAAAGTCAGTCTCGCTGCACGCCTCACCCCATCTTGTTGGAAAAGACGTTGTGCTAACATGCCATGTAGTTGAAAAGGCGTATAGTAACATGAGCGAGCTGTTCGACTATGTCTACCCAGCTGTTGGCAATGACGAGAGCTCGCCCGCCAACCTCTTCGAGGCGGAACCAGTCAACAGCAGGGTGAGCCAGCAGTGGCTCTACGACACGCTCGCGTCTCTGTGGTCTCGCTGGATCGGCCGCGAAGATGCACACAGGGTCAAGGACGGCGGGTACTATTCCACAAAGGTGCCGCACCGGAATCTGCGCATCATCTCGCTCAACACCAACCTCTACAGCTACAAGAACATCTGGGTCTACCAGGACCCCATCAACCACGACCCGGCCGGGCAGCTGGCATGGCTGGTCAGCGAGCTCGAAGCGGCCGCGAGGGCCAAGGAGCACGTCTACATCATCGGCCACATGGCCATGGGCGACGCCGACATCCTCCAGCACTACTCGCGCTCGCTCAACCAGATCATGAACAAGTACGCGTCCACCATTGCCGCCATGTTCTTCGGGCACACACACCTCAACCAGTTCCAGCTTCATTACCGGGGGTCCGACGATCCGCAGTCGCCGCATTGGTGGCGCAACGGCGAGCGGCTCCTGGCCGAGGACGCCATCGTCACGTCGTATATTGCGCCTTCCATCACCCCGGTCCTTGGTGCGCCGGCCTTTAACGTCTTTTACGTCGACCCGGAAACTTTTGGAGTCCTCGACGTCGTCACGTACTCGTCGAATATGATTGATCCCTACTGGGAATACGACAAGGGCCCCATCTGGGCGAGGGCCTTTTCGGCCAAGATGGTGTATGGGATTCCGCAGAAAATCCCCGAGGGGGGTGAGCTCACGCCCGCCTTCTGGCACAAGATTAGCGAAAGGTTTGACTGGGATAGGACCTTTTACAGATATTACTTTGGTCGCCAGACTAGTTGGAATGAAATGCCGACGGGCGAGTCGCAGAGAGCAAAGGACCAGTGCTTCATCCGCGGCGGTATCGCCAGGAACTGTTTGGGCATACCCGGCAGGGGAGGGCTGGGCGGATTATTCGGAATCACCGGTTGACGACCACATGCATATACAGACTGCGTGTGTTTTAGCCCGGCGGTTAAATGGCATTATTAAATATGACCAAGTATCACTATGTATATCCAAGTATCGCGAAATATACTCAAGTATTATTAAATGTATTTGAGTATTACTAAATATTACAAACATCTAGATCGTTATCATGACAGAATCTAAGCATGCAAACATAATCATCGGTCTTGTGGAAACCCACTGCCTGTGGTACTCTGTGTGTTCAACTGGGAGACTATTCCCTTCAACTGCCTCGCTGAAGCTCAAGTCCGTCCATCATGAAAGTTAACAGCTGGGCAAACAGAAGAGCAATATAGCGCTGCCGCAACGCTTGACGGGCAGCTGGGTCGAAAACATGCCCGTGTCGGCAATGGTGACAAGTCACAAGATGAGTGCTTCCCTCGAGGGCTGGCTCACTGGCTCTTTGAGCATCAAAGCCTGTGAGTGCTTACAGTTGCCCAATCTAGGCCCATGACCAATACGCTTTGGGTCGTTTCCGTCTCGATGATTTTCTCCTTGAATCTCATCTCCCTCGTCATACCGACGCATATCTTGATACCAGCAGCACGTCCTCATAGACGGATGCCGCTCGAGTTTCTAGCCCAACGAGGCTGGGGGCTTTTGGGGCGCGGCGATCGAAGGAAGTTGCTGAATCGCATCGGGGGTGAGAAGCAAATTCAAGTGAGCGTAGGGTGTCGGGATTTCTTGATTCTTGATACAGTTCGCTCGGCCATGTCTGCTGCCCTGGCCGCGTCGTCAGGCCGCCTGGTGCAAATGCTCGTTGTGTCCAAGCATGCTTGTGGGTTCACAACAACGGGTATACAGTCTAACTAGTATATACGCCGCATCAGAGAAATTCGGTCAGGCTGAAACTGCAACGAAGTCAACCCGTCCGAATCCTTTGCCACCTGTGGAACTGCGTTCCCACCATGCAGTTGTGAAAACGGACCTGGCGTCCAAGTGCATCGCGGATGGCATCCGCAACAGCAAACAGGCTCTCAACATCCAAACCTTTTTACTTTTACACTCACCAAACCACAAGGCGGATCTTCGTTCGTTTAATGTGCACGCTCACCAGGCTGCTGCCTACGCGACGGCCGCCCAACCACGGAGCTCGGTGCCAGAACCTCTCACCTCATCCATCAGCGTGACTCCTTGCGCCAGCCTCCACCAACACCGAACCCTCACCACCTTCTTCCTCACCAAACGTCATCGTCGTCATCAACCATCACCTCAGCTTCCCAACCACCCCTCCCCCGGGATACGAACCGCCACGCCATGGCCCCAGAATTCCACGCCGTCACCCCCATCCTCCGCATCTTCAACGTCCCCAAAGCCGACGAGTCCCTCGAATACCCGGGCTTCACAACCGACTGGGAGCAGAGCACCGGCACGACGCCAACGCCCACCCCTCTACCGGCAAATCTCCCACGGCCCCCTCTCGCCACACCTGGGCGAGCACCACGGCGACGGCAGCCCGGGCGTCACTCTCCGCATCTCCACGTCCAACCTCGCCGAACACCACGCCGCGACAAGACGGCCCGGCCGAGGGGGCCCCAGGAGATGACGAACCCCTCTGGGAAACACCCTCATCTTCTGCCAGGCGGCCAAGTAGCTCCGGTTCCGCCCCTTTTCCCCAGAGGGCCAGGCATCTTGACTATGCGCGCGTGCCTTGCGGTACCTGGTGCCTTGTGCCTTGCGGCGCCTCGTGGGCTGCGGTAGCCTTGTAAGACTAGAGTAGCGTTCGAAAACGAAAATAAAACAAACACTGAGACCGTAAAACGTGGGCTCGTGCAACACGAGATCCTTCGGGGCGACAATGGCTGCAACGCTGCGGGGGCCTCGATCGACTCCTCGCCGATCGGCGCATCCGCGCACAATCAGATGCGACCCGGAGCTGAACAAGGCAAAAAGGTGCCTGACGGGCAAAGCGTTTGCGCCGCAACATCAGCACACAGCTGGCCGCCCCCTTTCAGACGAGACGCTCCTCGAGCTGGTGGTGCCAAGACGAGGCGGGAAACACCTGCGTCGCCAAACAAATGTGGTTGCCTGTCAGTCGCCCAAATCACGGGTTGGCAGAGAGATTCACCTCCTAAACGACAATTCTAAAAGCCGGTAGCAATTGCGTTTCACTACGCCCCGTTTGTCATCTTTTAGCTCATCTTTTAGCTTATTTCTAATTTCCCTTTTTTTTTTAAAATTGATTTTTATTATTTTCATCGTTGCGGGCCCTGGGCCTGTTTTGACTTGGTCTTGTGTGCCCTCCTGAGCCTTGAAAGTTTGGTTCCAACTTCTGTGCCCGTTCTGCGGGGTGTGGGGATTGGCCAACCGATTGACTCAATTGCTTATTCCTGGTTTAGGCTCCAGCTTTCACTTTTCAGGGCAATTGCTCGACACTGCGCGAGGAGGAAGACAGGGATGCGCCTTTTTTGTAACAGAAGAAAAGAAGAAGAAAAATCAAGTTCAAATCAGTCCATCCATCTATCCTCTTGGTCTGTTCTTTCAAACCAGTCTATCCATCTATCCTCTTGGTCTATTCTATCGTGGTGTTTTCCCTGTCCGTAGATGCGCATGTCCTGCAACTCATAATTCCTCGTACATAATCCATGTCCCATCGCGTCGTTCCATATAGTACACAGGGCCCAAGCATGACAACAATGGAGCCCTAATCTTGACAAGTGTAGTTGTTCCAGAGACATGTCGTCAGTCCGTAGTCCTCCGGTTTTGTTGGTCGGTGTCGAATGTATCAGTCTTGGCCAAATGCCACTATCCTTGAGCGGCATACTGGCAGTAGGTGCATCGGGGTACCTGGCAGTGAGGGCAGAAGTAGTCCAAGTCAATAGACCACCAGCCATGGCTGCAGCTGCACTATTCTCAGAGTTAGTTGGTCATGATTCTGATTCAATGTAGAGACAATTGGTACGTACACACTGCCAGACCTTTGCCTGCGAGTGGTAGTTGACGGGCTCGGTCGCCCTGTTGCTCATGCCGCGGCACATTTTCGCTGGTGTTTGGAGATGCGTGGATGAGTCAGAGGCTTGTCTTGTTGCCGGCAAAGTGCCTGGTTTTCTAGTTCTTGGACTGAGGCTTGAGCTGAATGAGATTTGAGTAAACATGTCCAAAAGTCAAGTCAAGACGGCGTCAATGCCAGCTTATATAGCCCAAGGCATCAAGGAAATAAGGCGGTACCGAGCTCTAGAACAGGCCCCGTTCTACAGTTTCCGCGCATTTCATGACGCTTCGGTGGCAGTGTGTTTGTCTGGTGAGCATTTGACCGAGAAAGGGCTTCATCAAGGCTGCCAGGCCCCGATTTACAGGACGGCCATGCCATTGTTGAGAAGGCCATGAACCGTCATCATTGGTTCGTGGTGCTTGACTCAACTCACAAAAATGCACCACCAGCCTTGTAATGATAATTTGACTCAGTAGGCCCCCAAGTAGGCATCTCCCTAGATGGGGCCAAGTTTGATTTCACGAGTATCATCAGGCACGGGTGGGTTAGACGGCGGAGTCTATCAGCAAGTACACTTCGCACACGCAGGGCGTCGGTGGACTTCGTAGCAGGCTCAGCCAGACATTGTCAATCAACTCGCGAACCAAATGCCAAACCCGCAAGAAAATAGCCCGGTGGCTCATGTGTTTGCCCACCCCCGAAACTCTCCTTTGAGCTGCCAACACGGATTGGGACCAACAAGTGTGTTGGTGTAGGCTGCGGGTGGGTTCGGTCAATCAGTCATCAACCGTCACGGGGCGGCATCGTCGTGGTACCCCCAGGGTTAAAGGCGCCCTAGCGTGAGAAACCGGGTTGCATTTGGTTCCTTCCCATTGGCAGCAGCGTACAGTTTTCGAAGTTTCGGTGCAGAATGCCGTTGAACAGCCTCACGTCGTGACGGAAAGACCCAGTGTTTGCTTCCATTGCTTTGCCTGTTTGTCAACCCGTACCAACTGGATCCAGGCTAAACGGCCAAATGGCAGGCGGCCCGTGGTCATGGCCGCAGGAAGCAAGCCCAGTCTTGTCACTGAGGCGGGTCCCGGTTCCAGCTCGATTGTGGCGTAGCCTGCTCTCTCGGTGGCCATAAGTGGCTTTCGTCTTCTTCTTCTTCTTCTTCTTCGATTTTTCCATACATGAAGAACTAGAACAGACGGGGCTGGCTAGCTTGGGGCGTTTGGTGTGGCCTTTTACCCTTCCTGCTCAAGTCTAACGTATGTTAGTCCTCTATCACTAGCTTTGTGTGGAGTGGGATTAAGGATTTCCGCGGCCCACCTTGAGGCACAAGTTTCCAAGGCGGCGATCGGTCAGTCGTGGATTCGTGTTGGGTTTCAGGGCCGCAGCTGCTTTTTTGGAAGTCAGTGGAAGTTTGGAGCCGTCAGGGAGGAAGCAATCGTTGGCCAAGTCAAACGCGCTTGACGGGCCGCTCACCGTGCCTGGCCCAAGGTCGAAAGGCCGAAAGGTCCAGACTACTCAGAAAAGGACTGAAGTGTCTACTCTGGCAAACCTGAGGTCGTCAGCTTGGGTAGCCTCTGTTTCGGCGCGGACGCGGGACAGCCAATTGCAAATATCACCACCTGCATCATGTGATTTAATCGCGACACAGGGCCGGATTGCCGAGGAGGAGGAACGATGCGCGCACGGCAGTCCTGTTTTGAATCGCGCTTGCCGCAGTGCGTGGTCCTTACGTCATAGGCAATGAACAGCTAGTGATTCGGAAATTACAGCATGTGAAACAGGTCGACATTTTTGTACACACGCCAAAAAAAGCCACGATGACAAGGTCGTAACTTCAGCCGTTAACGATGCCATTCTGCGGCTTTTCGCCCAGGTCCCGAATGTTGCCCATCTTGATTCTGCTTTTAGACATCGCTGGTCGTCTCGCGAGGAGAAGCTGTGCGCTTCGTTCCTGCAAGAGAAGCTTCGTGAGAAGAGGTATGCTCCACGGATGAACCACCTCCGCGTTGCAAGCTTTTGTCCCGTGAGACAGGACTTCTTTTCGCACTGCTGATGCCATGACAACGCACCCGCAAAGGATTACAGATACTTCAGAATCGATAGCGATATACGTATCCCTATCAGGTAATCGGACGGAAAGTGATCAGTGCCTATCACCAGTTGCGGGCTCCGAGGTCGATAGCTCCCCACCAGTTAACCAAGCTACAATAGCTGTAGCTAAATTGGCCTACGACAAGACTATTGCTGCCAGTTCACGAAACAAGAAGAGGGGGGGCTTATTCTAGAAGTTGTGCCCGACATGAGGCCCATGTTCTGGTCAAGTCTCGTGGTGGCGGGTGCACTCCCGAGAGCCTTAACTTGACCATATTGGTCCTGATGGATGGGGAAAGGAACTATTTCTTGTCTTCTGTGCGGTGGGCCATCCTTCAAAAGTCTCAGATGCGGGCGTTGCAGGAGGTGCAAGCGTGCTGGATGTGGAAATTCAGCATGGCACAAGTCATATAAATGTATGATGTGCCAGGTGAAGACACCGCGCGCCCTTTGCGACCATCTCATGCGCTGCGGTTCAGTCTGTCGGTCATGCAGAAAACTTCTCCCCAGTCTGGTTCGCTTGGTGTGCATCCATTGTACCGCAGACAGGTTGGTGGGACAAAGAAGATGCGCAGGCTGCCACGACAAGCGCAAAGCCAAGATCAAGATTGAACGCGAACTATCAATAGGGCAACAGCCGAACGAGCTCCCGCCAAAGCACAACCAACTCAAGGCGCCCCGTCCAAGGGCGCAACGTGCACTCAGAGCCCTTGAATTGTGCGGCGAGTAAAAGATCACCAAGAGGATCAAGTCTACTGCTCATCGCGAGGGTACCGACTCGAATCGAGAAGTTGCAGTTGTCGATAATAGCTGCGAGCCTGCCGCAGCTGCTTTAAGGAAAAGGCCAGAGAGCGGGCAACTCCGGAAGGATTTGGCAGTGTCTGTTGATTGCCATGATGCTGAGTCTAGCCAGGAAGCTGTCGATGACAGCGGTGATGCGGCCGTATCTTGTCAGAGAAAGAAGCTGAGGAGCGTGCGATCGCGGAAAGGCCCAACAGCGTCCGGTGGTCTCGAGGATCCTGATTTCCACGAGTCGCTGCCCGTCAGCTCGATCGTAGAGTCAGGCTTCAGTAGTCAACACCGAGAAAACCTGCGTTTAAGAATGGTGAACCTTGCGAGGTTTGTCATGCAAAGCCGAGTATGACCTACTACCGGAAATGCGAGGAGTGGAGGAGGCTTAGGCGGGCATTGCGCATAAAGAGGCGAGCAAGAAGAGGAGAAGGAAACCCGAGACATGCGAAGTTTGCAAATAAAATCCGAGGAAAGATTGCTCCAAGAAATGTGCCTCGAGGCTTCGCAGAATATGGCCTATGAAAAGAATATGGGAAAGGCCCGGGACGAACAACGAGAGTCCCGTCAGACGGGGGAATCCTACGGGATATCCTACACTCCCAATTGCAACAAACAACGACCTTACGCACAGACGAGATGCATCAAGTGCTCGCTCGCCGCTCAACGGGCTAGAAAGAAGGATGCAGACGCAGTTCAGTGTGGCGAAAGAAGCCATTGTCAAAGATAGGGCAAAGAGCAACATGAGCACAAAGCCAGAACGGATGCAGCCGGGGCAGCCAAGGAGCAGGGTCGGCAAGAAGAAGAAGAACGCATGACATAGTCTCCCAATGTTGTTTTGGCCAAGGTGGTTGTTTGGTCGAGACAGCAACACCAGCATGGGTGGTGCTCGCGATGGACGATTGTTGAGCGAAGGGGGTCTGGTTAGATGCTGCGACAAGGCGTACGTGTATTAACAGCGCCACGCCTGCCAAATTGTAGGTGGATAGAGTGTGTATCATCAATTGTACGTAATTGGGATGTCGTGAGAGCTCAATGATTTTTTTCACTTTCTTTGAATGCAATTACTTGTAAACAACAGTTTACTTGCCACAGATAGACCTGAGCCGCCCGATTTCGGCCGTGCCGCTGTGGCCCGTGGTGAACCAGACCTAAAAGCCCCCGTGCCTGGCCCGAAGTCCACACCCTGAACGTCAGTCAAGGATTTCTTGGTACGTATCTCATCACAGATACTGGTACTACTCCGTAATCTCACATCCAACAACACCCGCAGCACACTACTTGTCCTCCCGATTTCAGGTCAATTGGGCTCCTATATCTCGGAATCATGCTGTCTGCTACTTCTGGAGCCATGCGCATCGGCGCTCGTCGAGTTGCACCCCGCGCCGCTGCCCTCGCCGTCCCCCCGAGGACCAAGGCCTCCCTCAGCCGAATAACTGCCAATATTGTCCACGCCCGCGCTATCTCTACCACCGGAAGTCTTGCTAATGCTCTCAACACGAATCCGAACCCCCCTCTAGGCAAGAAGAATGCTTCCAACGAATCGCCGTCGCGAATTGGCCTCATCGGCGCCCGTGGTTACACCGGCCAGGCCCTGATTGACCTTCTCAACGACCACCCTAACATGGACCTTCGCCATGTGTCTTCTCGAGAGCTTGTTGGACAGGAGCTCAAGGGCTATACTAAGCGCAAGATTATTTACGAGAGTCTATCTCCTGAAGATGTAGCTCGTTTAGACAAGGATGGCCAGGTCGACTGCTGGGGTAGGCTCGCTCCCTCGCTAGATATTTGACAGTTCTACTGACACCCGAAAAAGTCATGGCCTTGCCCAACAAGACCTGCCAGCCTTTTGTCGAAGCACTGGGACAAAGCTCAAGTCTCATCATTGATCTTTCGGCCGACTACCGGTTTGATACGACGGGGAAATGGACGTACTCATGCCCTGAGCTTGTGAAACGCAGCAAGATTGCTCAATCCACGCGCATCAGCTGTCCTGGTTGTTATTCAACGGGCTCTCAACTCGGCATTTCTCCTCTCGTTCCGTATTTGGGAGGCGTTCCTACGGTTTTTGGTGTTTCGGGAGTATGTCCCCCTTCTTCCCCAATGCCGACACCCACGCTCGAAGCTAACTGGTCCAAGTTCTCAGGAGCTGGAACGAAGAAGAGCCCCAAGAACGACGAGACTCTTCTGAAGGATAACCTTCTGCCTTGTTAGTTGAAAAGATGTCATGCGTATAAGCATGTGGGAAGCTGACCTTGAGCAAGACTCTCTTACGGGACACATCCACGAGCGAGAAATCAGCCACCACCTTGGGGCCCCGACGGCATTCATTCCTCACGTGTTAGATCTACTGCTTCTTTTTTTTGGCTATCGTATACTGATCCAATTACAGCGCTTCTTGGTTCCGCGGTATCCAATTGACCATCAACATCCCCCTGTCCAAGGAGATGACTTCTCGAGACATTCGCCAGCTTTACCAAGACCGATACGCCGGCGAGAAGCTTGTCAAGGTCGTTGGGGAAGCTCCCTACGTCAAGTCGATCCAGAACAAGCATGGAGTTGAGATCGGTGGATTCGCTGTTGATGACACCGGCAAGCGTGTCGTTATGTGAGTATCCACATTTGAGATTGAACCCCCAAGGGCTCCAACTAACCTCCGTAGCTGTGCCACGATTGATAATCTTAACAAGGGTGCCGCCACCCAATGCCTGCGTAAGTTTTGTCGGTGCATAACGAAGGATTTTATGGTTTGCTAATGACTGCACAGAGAACATGAACCTCGCCCTCGGATACGACGAGTACCAGGGAATTCCCATTGAGTCGTCATCTTGATCTCCAAGCACTACAGTTCATTACGCAAGGCTTGGTATTGATTGTCTGGGCCTTGAACGGTCTTTCCGTCAGAGAAAAGAGATGCGTCCTACAGGCGTTTCCTGAATATCGTTACCAGTTCACGTCGAGAGACAGGTTCCAGGGGCTAGTGCACATTGCTTCTTGCAATGCGCTGCTGACTACTAAGTATGAACAAACAGCGCGCTGGTCGTACTGGAGCAGGTCCAGCTTTAGCTTACAAGTACGCGGGGTCTGCGCTTGATGCCCCTTGGACTTGCCAAATCAACTGGGAATGCTTCCACATGCTACGACACACAATGAATTTCGGCGTGAAGACGCCTTGGGGCGGTGCTTCTCCCCAGGAAGTTCTCATATGTCTTGACATACAATCCAGAATGTACCTGGTGACTTGCACCGACACAGCGGCTTACCGTCTCATAGGGTCTGGGGTGGGCCAGCCACAGTGATCATGATATTCATCGTCACATAAAGCGACAGGGCTTCCTAATCCAGTACTATATCAATATTAGAAGATTCTCTATACAAAGCAGCGACTGCAGGCCTTATTTTTCCATCACATTGTCATAGGGGTAATCCAGGCAAAGCCCTTTCTTCTCCATTTACCATACAAGCCAGAGTGTCCTCTCAAGCCACGCAAACCTTTCGAAAAGCGGGCTCACGAGCCAATCTGCCCCCACCCCCGCGCCCCTGGCGCTAGCGACTGGATCCTGAACCATGACGAAGGTCGCATAAAGTCGACAAGATGCAAGGAAAGCACGAGAATGCTGTTGCCTGTGATTGACGGGCTCGTATGTATCTTATCGGAGGGGGGAAGGTTCAGGTGATGTAAGGTGAGCATCACGGGGTGACGAGAGCCTGAGCAAAGAGCGGCCCTGTTGACTAACCGGGCTGGGATGTGGGTCGCCCAGACTTCGTGGGATTCTCCTAGGTACCTGGTACAGTCAGGGGCAGAAAGATTTGCCCGCCGAGAAGTATACACTAATACTCCATCATATATGACAGTATGAAGCGCGATAGCCAGGTACATGGTCTAGTTAAATACTTCTTGGCCCCCACTGTACTTAACCCCCCCTCTTCCCCTTTGCATTCCCTCGTCGCCGTCAACAAGCCATTCATTCTTTGTCCGCCATCTGAGTACAGGCTGTGCGCCACTGTAATTCAATTGACAATCTCTGTTGCCCATCATGGGCTTCTTCGCCACGTCTACCGGCTACTTTGCCTTTTGCGCCCTGCACCTCGTGTGCTTCGCGCTGGCGCTCGCGGTGTGTGGCTTGTACGGCCAGGACATCAACAATGCCCACCAGAAAGACAAACACAGCGACTCTAAATGGGTGAGCAACTCTCCACACGCGGTTGGCCAACGTGGCGCGAGCACGCGTGAGAAGCTAATATCGAGGCTGCCAACAACAGGTCTATGCCGTCGTCGTAGGTGCACTGTCGGCCGTGACGTGCGTCTTCTGGTTTGTCCCTGCCCTTCTGCGCCACGCGGGCGTGCTTGGGGCTGTTTGGAACTCGATACTCTTCATTCTGTGGATTACGCTGTTTGGGGTCTTTGGCGCGGTAGGTGAATTTTTCTGCATTGCCAGGCAAGGGGACTAACGCCACGGTCACAGCTGTTCATCCACGAGGATGCCGAGGGCGACGGCGACATCCAGCGCATGAAGAACGCCGTGTGGGTTGATCTTACGAGCGCGCTTTTGTGGCTGATTTCTGCCGTTGCCACTACCGTCTACTGGTGGAGGCACCGTGATGCCCGATCGACGTTTACTGGACGCGCTCGTGTTTAAGTAATGATGCGGTGCCTCGAGCCCGACGGTGAGGAGCATCAAGGTTTCGCGGGGGAGACGTGACGAGGTGATGTCAAGATTTGACGGGTAATGATTGCAATGGTAAACGTTGGGGCGCTGAGTGTCGGCAGATGGTGGATGGGGCAGGAACATGATTCGTTTTGTAGTCATACAGCCTCTGCAGAGTATATTTACCTACAAAGAGGCGCACAGTAATATAATGTATCATTATTTTTGGTCTTTTCTTTTTTTTAAATACAAATAGTAGTACAAGCATCATGCAAGCATCATACAAGTATTACATCCAGTAGCACCATATGTTAGCCGTAGAAAGCCAGAGAACCGTAATATACCACGTTACACGTAATACACTGTAAACGCATCGTGATGCGTTAAACGCTAATAAGATGAATGATTCATCGTAGCACGTTATTTAAAATTATCCCGTGATAGCTTCAGCCACCGATTACGTGAAACTTAACCCCGGATATAGTTTACACCAATGACTCACTTTAAAAACTTAAAATAACCACACATAACATATATCAATGAGGTTCGCGCTTTCTCCCGTCAACCTCTCTCTAATCTTTCAACATTAAAGCCCAGCTTCACAGTTGCCAGTTAACGTCACGGACCAACACAAACTGCTCGTAAGTCCTCGCCACTAAAAAGCACCTTGAGGCACTACAGCGTTTGCTAACATCGGCTAAAGCGGTCAAATCTCACAGTGACCACAAACAACATGACCATAGCAAGTTGCCCGTTATAACCTTCAACGATTGAAGCTAACGAGACCCGGAGAAATCAGGATGACACAGATACCGTAACGGGTATTAATAAAGATAGCTTATTTCAAGATAAAGAAGCTACTTATTTTTTTTTTATTTATATCTCTTAAAATTTTATTATTTTTCTTGATTTTTTTTTAGGTAATTTCTTGGAAAAATCAAGGAAATTAATAAGATTTTAAGAGATATAAATAAAAAAAATAAGTGGCTTTTTTATTTTTATACAAGATATTTTTATTAACACTTATCGTAATACTTATATTATACTTTAAGTCTTATTAGCTTTAATTCTTAAAGGTTGTAACGGGCAACTTACTTGCTTTGGTCATGTTATTTGTGACAAGGCTAATAAACCTGTGGAGGCTAATGTATTATTATTTTAACATGTTAAGTTTGTGATTGGTCATCCTAGGCTCGTGCAAGCACTGCATCAGGTAGGGCCCAGTGAAAGTAGCACAATGTGCCTGGCCGTACCCGTGCCAGAGAATCTGTATTGTGATACACCATGGACGCATCACGATGCGTCAGAAGGTAGCAAGGTTGGTGATTGATCGCTGCGCGCCGGAGGAGGGGAGGCTGTCTTGCGAAAGCCTCAGACACTGCGATATTTTAACATACACTCATACAATCATACAGCCTAGCTTGCGGAAGTGCTTGTGCTAATGCTTGTGTCCTTTGTTTCCTCCGTCAGCCTATTGAGGAAACCTCGTCGCGAGACCTTGTGGCACAGTTCAACCTTGCGCGTGCAGCACGACACAAGCATTTTGCTGTCGCCTTGTCTCGTACAGCCAACACCGTCTCACCTTTTCAATGCCCCCGTTGCGATGCAAAAGTGCCAATATAGTTAGCAAGTTTCGCCGCGCCTTCAAGAGGAATGGAGTTATAATTGCTTGCTCGGATTCCTCGCAGATCACGGTGACCTTTGAGCCCGGTGAGCCCTATGGCAGTACCTTGCTTCAAGAAAGCTTCCTCGGCAGCATCGCCACCCTCAATCCTGAAGCAGATATTCATACGTGACCGCACTGACTTATGAGGGATGATGTGATAGATTTCGGGATGCGCTGCGAGAGCTGCGTAGATGAGTTGAGCCTTCTGTTCAGATAGAGTCTGCTGTCCTTGGACCCTACTAGGGTGCTGCAGTAGTAGTTTTTTCAGAACCCGGCCCGCGATATACACACTAGAGATGTGAATTAGTTCGAGAATATACTGGCAAGAGCACGCGTACTCAAAGATGCTTAGTGTGTTATAAAGGCTGTTATTCTTGGCAATCGTCTCATACTCCAAGGCCCGAGGCGGTATCGGTAGCGCCAGTTGCCTCAATAATGCTGCGGACGGCTGCGCTAGAAAGCTCTTCTTGATAACAACGACAGTAATACCAGTAGATCCTAGATTATTTTGCGCGCCAAAAAAGATGGCTGAGAAGTTGCGAATCGGAATCTTCCTTGACAGAATATTAGAGCTCATGTCAGCAACAACAACGGGTCCATCAGGTCCTGGCTCGAGACGTTTTGGGAATCCCGGGAACTCTACGCCGTGGACTGTCTCGTTGTCGCAATAGTAAACCATGGCACTATCCCGGGACAAGTTCCAGGTATCCTCGTCGGGAATTATGCCAAATTTGCCGGCGTTGAGCTTGCGGCTGTCCGCCACAATATTGACATGCTCGGGGCCGAAGAGTCGCTCGGCTTCAGCTGCTGCCTTTTGCGACCAGCCGCCAGTGATAATATAGTCGATCTTGAGGTCTTTCACGGCCGACTTTAGCTGTTCGATTGAGCCATCATCTGACCCCAGCTCCTTGTGTTTGCGAGCAACCCAGGCGCCAGCAAAGTTATATGCCGTAGCTGCAAACTGTCCTGAGCCACCGCCCTGCATAAAAAGGACCTCGTAGTCGTCAGGAATCTCGAGGAAGGTTGAAAGGTCAGCCTTGGCCTCATTAATAATCTTGGTGGCTAGCTCAGAGCGGTGGGAGTGCTCGGCGAGACCTAGACCCGTGTCGTTGAAGTTGACTAGAGCCTTGGCAGCATCCTCGAGGACTTCGGTAGGAAGCAAAGGAAGAGGGGTGACTCGGAACGAAGAGTGGGATGTCCAGTGGTTTTTTTAAGTGACTGCCATGTGGGTGTGGATATTGACTCTTCACTTCTCCTCAAGCCAATCAAGATGGCAATGTTAGCATGGCCCCGCCAAGCCACCAAGGTTCCAGATGTCATGTTTGCGATTCTCAACACCAAGCACAGTGACTCACTGGGCATCTTGACAGCAAACCTGAGGCCTGTGGGGAGGTGTATAGCACAGCTATGTATCCCTTTAGCTGTGCTAAGGTGCCAGTTAGGTATCGGCCCCATTTTTTCTGCGATACCTAACGGGTACCTTTTTGGCGTCAAAAAGGTCCCATACGCTAGGTTCGGCTGTGGTGATCCCCCGATAGAGGCTGCTTTCCTCTTTCTTTTTCTATTCAATCCAATACAGTGACAGCGCCAACGTGCCTGACATCTCCCCGAGTACTCAGGTATGTCACAAGACGGCGCCGAATACATGAACCATCGAACCCTTTCAACCTTAGCCAATTTGGCACCATTCTTGTCAATTTGACGTCTTCGACACCAAGCGGCTCAATTCAGTTGCATCATTGCATCTCATTTGATCGCGTCCATGCATCGTCTACGTGTGCCGCCGTGCCATGGCCCTGATCGACCGAAGCAGCTATGGGAAGAAGTCATATTGGGTCGTTTTTGGAGGGATGTTATACTGAGCACCAGACTAGATATTCCCCTTCTATGCAAAAAGATAGCACTGTGGTGAGACATTCAACACTCGGGCGGAAGCTTCTAATCATGGCATGACAACTAAGAAGGCATGTATGCGAATTACCAGCGGACTGAAGATGGCCAATTGATGTGCCCTTTTGCATCAACGTTTAATAGTACAGCGACATTCTGCGTCTCCGTTAACACCAGGCTAAGCCGCTTAGATACCATTTTGAAGCAGAACACATGTGCGAGGGCATACCACGATCCGTTACGTGTGATCTAGGGCATCGCATGAAATGGCCCCGCGTTGTGTATACGCCTCGTTGCCAAACACGCTGCCCAAAATACTACTATTCAGCGCTTGGTTGCTAGAAGAAGTACCTTCATCACAGGTTGACCAATCTAATTAATACCACCCCAAGTAAATGAACCAAGTACATATGTAGTTGTTCTCCATTCCTTCTTTCCCGAGTCACCCCCTACACTTGCTTGGCGTTCCAGTGTTATGTGGATGGGCAATGGGAAACTTTTTATCTGGTACTAGACATTAGCTTTGCCCTCGCAGTATTTTCTACACAAACGTTTCTTAAAACATCATCGGGAGACAATGGCCACGTCTTGCCGGAAGATGTCAACTCGTATACTCGGCCCTTGCGACGTAGTAATACATACACGTCGGTATGATAGTCCTAATAGGCCTTGAACCCGCTCACAAACGTAGCGCGACCTCTTTTAAAATTTTCGCTGCTTCTATCTCTTTTTCTGTGCTAACTAGGAGTTTTTATTGTTATTGCATTATTAATTTGTAGTTGAGGCTCAGATCTATTCAAAGGTGTGGCGATGTTGTCTCTGTGATATTGGTGGTTTTCACTGACAATGCGTTGACAATATTGAAGGTCTTTTTTTTTCTCGGATCGCTGCCTCTAATCCAGAACAACAATCTTTGTTCTGCCGTTGAGGTGAACTTTCAACGAGCATAAAACAGCCAATTTCTACTCCTCACTATCCTAAGTGCTACGAATGACCTCATCTCCTTAGATGCAGTCTCAATGCGAGTAACTCGTCCGATTCTGGCTCTCGCACCTCTGTTGCCCTTGTTGCCTGGTGCGAAGCATCCCAGGCGTCCGGTCCACGGGACGAAAATGGGCGCGTATTTCGCTATTGCGGCGCTTGGTTTCTCGAGCCCTGAGATCTACAGACGCCATGTTTCAGTTGTGGACGACGATCAACGCGAAGGGAAATTCGTGCTGAGGATAGTGCCGCTCCGAGGTCGAAATCAACGTCATGCGTGTTTTGTGGCGGGAGCCTGAGATGCTAGTGCCGTTAATCCCGTTCATCTACGCTGGATGGCGTTGGAGTTGACTCTGGGAATTACAAGTGCTGTGGTGTAATTGCAGAGACGGATTGGATGTGGAGGGAAGCGTGGTGCAGAGACGCGGCTGTGGTTGGAAGATTGGTGGTACTCGGATCTACACAACGTGATGGGGGCAAGCACGCGCCTTGAAGACGGCAAGCCACGATCAGCGGCAAGGCGGACGGCAAGATGGAACAGCTGTCTGGTCAGGCTGATGGATGGGATGGGTGGGAGCATGGGTCATGGGTGATTGGCAACGATCATCATGGCGTGGGTTGTGGTCGACGGCGAAAACGACAAGCGGGCTGGACTCGAGACGGATTGAGAGAGATTGAGACGCCGAGGGCGGCATTCAGGCGCAGTGGCAGAGCACGCTCGCACATGAATGAATTTCCGAATGAAAACCCACTCTGTTCGTGATGAAGATCCACCATCCACGCTGGACGAAGGAAGATATGACGTCGGCACATAACAACAGACCGATGCGGTCGGCCATGCCATCCATGTTTTGTGTCGGGCTCGGTCCTCTAGCCGACAACGTGTTGGGCATTCAATGTTGCATCTCCGGCTCTAGTCTTGTGGGTAGCCCAATTTTGGCGGTGGTGATTGCAAATGGGAACGTAATAGCATTGAATGTCATGAGAGCCGCCAAAAGGCCAAGGCTCTCTTGTGGTCCACATGGGCCTTTTGTGGTCCTTTGTGCTATTGCTTGCTCGGTATCGCATGTTGATGGGGATGTTGTTGGTGGAACAAGTGTCACGCGAGACGACAGCTCGGCGTGTTGCTGCCTTTTTCTTCTTTGTTTGTTTTTATTATCCTTTCTTTGTTTTATAGGGCCCGCCAGTCTGTTGGGTGCTCACTCGCGGATGTGCGTGCTTGCGTGGATGTTGTAGATTGTGCTCGCGAGAATTCTGGCGCATGCATGTGTTTGCGTCGTTCAGGTAAGTGCATGGTCACACTTCGCCCTTTTTTTTTTTCTTTTTTTTTTTTTGCCCTTCTCAAGTCGGCAAAAAGTCAATTTTCCGTACAGTGATTTGCGGTTGGTACTCCGTACCTGAAGTACGCAACCGTCAACCAGTGCCAGAGCTGGGTGGCCCGTCTCACCAGTTGACCATCCAATGTCCGTGTCGGACGTGCTTCAATTCTCCTATATTTGCACCCAACAAACAGTCCGACGTGCTTGCTCGTTGCACCGGACGTCTCTGCGTCTCTGCCATTGGCCAGGCCCTTGCATCGATCGACCCTTCAACACTCATCAACACCCTTCAACGCCCTTCTACAGCTTGTCTGTTGGCTCCGTCTCCGGCCAGCCTCCCGATCCAAACTCATCATTTACATTTCATCTCTAATCGAGACTTTATCGTCGACTCTGAGCTCAGGGAGTTTCCACTGCCACCGTCTGGCCGTCTACCTTATCAGCACTGACGCCGCTCCAACCCTCGAGCCTAGAATCTCTACTGAGTCTACTCCGTACCAGGCTGGACCCCGATCGAGACCCTCCACCAGTTGACGCTTACCCAGGCACAATCGAGCCTTCACCATCCGACAACGTGCTCTGCCATCACCAGCACCAGTGCACCACAACTCAACCCCTAAATTGCAACCACTTTTCGACTTTCCCATGCATACATGGCCCATCTACGGCGTCATTGAACTGTCGCGGATACAACACGTCCTGCCAGAAATCGCCTAGTCGTTTACGATCACTGTTTCTCGCCATCCTGCTGCCCCTCGTCCAGCCAAAAAGAAAAAAAAAATCCCCAAAACAAAATTCCTTGGCCAAGTTTACAGTGCCTCATATCGTCATGGCCAGCTTCGCCAGGTCCTTCAAGCCGCCATCGGCACTCCTTTCGCCCCGTCGACGACCAGGAATGCCCGGTCGCACCTTGTCCAACTCGTCCGACCTGTCCTTGTCCTTGACCCCGAGTACCGCCGCGGCACACCAGACGGACTACTTTGTCGACCAGCCGGTAGCATCGGCACCGAGCTCGCCATTCATGTCTCCTGCTCCTGGGGCCGTGGCAGCAGACGGAGCACAATCTACCAAAGGTATGTAGACGCCGTGTTTTTTGCTTGGTTTTCTTTGATTGGACCTTTTCCATATTTCGCCAAACATGTTTCCAAACTTTGTTATCCCCGTCAACTGCTACGTGAGCAAATGCGCCACCAAACAAACACTCAGGTCCACCCCCCCCCCCCCCCATCTCCCCTCTCACTTTCCCCTTTT